CTGCTGATGGAGGTGAAGCTGCTGCTGATGGAGGTGAAGCTGCTGCTGATGGAGGTGAAGCTGCTGCTGATGGAGGTGAAGCTGCTGCTGATGAAGGTGAAGCTGCTGCTGATGGAGGTAAAGCTGCTGCTGATGGAGGTGAAGCTGCTGCTGATGGAGGTGAAGCTGCTGCTGATGGAGGTGAAGCTGCTGCTGATGGAGGTAAAGCTGCTGCTGATGGAGGTGAAGCTGCTGCTGATGGAGGTGAAGCTGCTGCTGATGGAGGTAAAGCTGCTGCTGATGGAGGTGAAGCTGCTGCTGATGGAGGTGAAGCTGCTGCTGATGGAGGTGAAGCTGCTGCTGATGGAGGTAAAGCTGCTGCTGATGGAGGTAAAGCTGTTGCTGATGGAGGTGAAGCTGCTGCTGATGGAGGTAAAGCTGCTGCTGATGGAGGTGAAGCTGCTGCTGATGGAGGTAAAGCTGCTGCTGATGGAGGTGAAGCTGCTGCTGATGGAGGTGAAGCTGCTGCTGATGGAGGTGAAGCTGCTACTGATGGAGGTGAAGCTGCTGCTGATGGAGGTGAAGCTGCTGCTGATGGAGGTGAAGCTGCTGCTGATGGAGGTAAAGCTGCTGATGGAGGTGAAGCTGCTGCTGATGGAGGTGAAGCTGCTGCTGATGGAGGTAAAGCTGCTGCTGATGGAGGTGAAGCTGCTGCTGATGGAGGTAAAGCTGCTGATGGAGGTGAAGCTGCTACTGATGGAGGTGAAGCTGCTGCTGATGGAGGTAAAGCTGCTGCTGATGGAGGTGAAGCTGCTGCTGATGGAGGTAAAGCTGCTGCTGATGGAGGTGAAGCTGCTGCTGATGGAGGTGAAGCTGCTGCTGATGGAGGTAAAGCTGCTGCTGATGGAGGTAAAGCTGCTGCTGATGGAGGTGAAGCTGCTGCTGATGGAGGTGAAGCTGCTGCTGATGGAGGTAAAGCTGCTGCTGATAGAGGTAAAGCTGCTGCTGATGGAGGTGAAGCTGCTGCTGATGGAGGTGAAGCTGCTGCTGATGGAGGTAAATCTGCTGCTGATGGAGGTGAAGCTGCTGCTGATGGAGGTGAAGCTGCTCTAGCTCCTTAATATTCCTGCTTGATTTTTGCTAGCTTTAGCATTTTTCCTTTGTGTGTAGCTGCCGCTACAGCTGTGACGTCACGGGACCTACAGGCCACCGTAGAGGTGAAGGCTAGACTCAACTCAGAGGTGCTGGGTTCCGGTTTTAGCGGTCCAGTAAGGACCATCCTCACAAGCATCCTGCCCCTGGATTCGGACACACCCAGGGAGCTGGATAGAGGGAGGGACCAAATGTCATCATTAGTACTAACAGTGACCTCACGAGTCCTATCAGCATGTTTATTTCAGACCACACCTTCTAAGGATCCCAACCTCAGGTTTTTACCATCTAAACCACAGGTGCTAAACTCAGGCCCTCGGGCCAGATTTGGCCCACGGTCCATTTTTAAATGGCCATTTATTGATCTATATTAAAAGAGGCCCATTTGGCCGCAAAGACCACAAATCCCATAGTGCTTTGTGGCGTTAGCACACCAGTCGAAACGCACCCTGTTTCCAGCATCTGTGCTGCCAGTATCAGCCGGTGTCTGCAGCGTTAGCTCCTCAGCCTCTATTTGAAACCACTCCTCTTACTCTGCATGGCAGCGCAGTTGTTAGCACTGTTGCCTCGCAGCAAGAAGGTTGCGGGTTCGTAACCCGCCTTCCTGCACGTTCTCCCCATGCATGCGTGGGTTTCCTCCGGGTACTCTGGTTTCCCCACAGATCACAACATGCCCTATAGGTTAAAAGTTGCACGTCGCTCAGTGATCTGTTCACGGCTGACAGAAAACGTTCTCCAGCCAACTTCCAGACAGAGCTGATGTAACTCCAGTTTAGCTCCATCGGTAGGACTCTGTAGCTGCTGCAGCTTGATCTCTCCTCCCCGACACACTGACAACCAGCGTGGTCCAGCAGCACTGTTGTCTGTGATGAAGATGAAGCTCAGCTCAGAGCCCAGCCCCACAGGTGCAGGTGTCTGGCTGGAACAGGTGAGCATCAGAGTGGAGCAAACGGAGCCTCAAATGTTGTGGTTTTATGCACCTTTTCTGCTCCAAAGCATGGAAGTCAATAGGTGAGATTTGACATTTTCATTAGAGATCAAATAAGTGTTAGCTATTTGTTGGCCCATGAAAGAAGGTCTGACCTACAGGAACCGGAACGGCTCAGAAGAGAAACCCTTTCATTGTGCCTGAGAAGGAAAGCTTGGTGTCACCGCAGCAACGGCCCTCGTTACAGGACTAAACCATGAGAATAAAGAGCAAAGGAGAAAACACAAATAGTGAATATAAACATGATGAGAACATAAAAGAATAAACTACTGAGACCTCAGTAACGAACAGCACTGATGCCTTTTATTTCTAATTTAAATGTTTGTGTGTTTTGGCTATTCCACATTCAGGGTTAACACTAAAGTACGTTTGTTTCCAAATGAAAAGGTTCAACGGTGCGGATCTGCAAAGGAACGTGCACGTTTACCATCACTTTTTAAGAAGTCTGGCCCACGACTTCATCCCAGTGTGACTTAGTTTGACCTACTTTTGATACAAGCTTCTGCCCTCCAATCCGCCGTCACCAGAAACATGCAGCAGGAAGCGCCACAATAAAACTCACAGCACATATTCAGTTCAACACGTACTTTTATTCTGAAAGAGCACTTTTAGTGTTTTAGGACACTTTCCAGGTGGGACAGGAAGTCAGCCTGGTGGCTCTCAGAACCACAAGCAGCAGATTAAATCCTGAGTCCAGATTAAAAAGTGAGTTAAAGCTTTTAAGGAAGTTGAACATGGTCCAGAACTCGTACCGGACTTATGTCTGACGGGTCAAAGGTCACTTAGTGAAACCAAACTTAAATTAAATAAATATGGTGAAATGTTTCAGTTGTTACGTTAAACAGGAACAAAACGTTTGACTTTCTGCAACGCTGAAGCTCTAATATACTACAACTCCCACAATGCACCATCAGCAAGCATCACGGGCAAATGAGTTCTGGGCTGAGTGAGCGCTTCCCAACTCATCAGTCCATGTGGTCGTGGGTCATGAGGACGGATCAGAACCACCAGCTGCACTGGATCCTTCAGAAAGAGAACAAAGGAAACAAGACAGTACCAGCACCAGGTAGAACCGGACTGGGCTCATCCTGGACCAGATCAGAACCAGACCAAGTAAAACCAGAGCAGGTAAAACCGGACCAGTTCAAACCAGACCAGGGTTAAATTGGACCAGTTTAAACCAGACCAGGGATTGGACCAGTTTAAACCAGACCAGGGTAAAAACCGGACCAGTTTAAACCAGACCAGGGTTAAATTGGACCAGTTTAAACCAGACCAGGGTAAAACCGGACCAGTTTAAACCAGACCAGGGTTAAATTGGACCAGTTTAAACCAGACCAGGGTTAAATTGGACCAGTTTAAACCAGACCAGGGTAAAACTGGACCAGTTTAAACCAGACCAGGGTAAAACTGGACCAGTTTAAACCAGACCAGGGTTAAATTGGACCAGTTTAAACCAGACCAGGGTTAAATTGGACCAGTTTAAACCAGACCAGGGTTAAATTGGACCAGTTCAAACCAGACCAGGGTTAAATTGGACCAGTTTAAACCAGACCAGGGATTGGACCAGTTTAAACCAGACCAGGGTAAAAACCGGACCAGTTTAAACCAGACCAGGGTTAAATTGGACCAGTTTAAACCAGACCAGGGTAAAACCGGACCAGTTTAAACCAGACCAGGGTTAAATTGGACCAGTTTAAACCAGACCAGGGTTAAATTGGACCAGTTTAAACCAGACCAGGGTAAAACTGGACCAGTTTAAACCAGACCAGGGTAAAACTGGACCAGTTTAAACCAGACCAGGGTTAAATTGGACCAGTTTAAACCAGACCAGGGTTAAATTGGACCAGTTTAAACCAGACCAGGGTTAAATTGGACCAGTTTAAACCAGACCAGGGTTAAATTGGACCAGTTTAAACCAGACCAGGGTAAAACCGGACCAGTTTAAACCAGACCAGGGTTAAATTGGACCAGTTTAAACCAGACCAGGGTTAAATTGGACCAGTTTAAACCAGACCAGGGTAAAACCGGACCAGTTTAAACCAGACCAGGGTCAAATTGGACCAGTTTAAACCAGACCAGGGTTAAATTGGACCAGTTTAAACCAGACCAGGGTTAAATTGGACCAGTTTAAACCAGACCAGGGTTAAATTGGACCAGTTTAAACCAGACCAGGGTTAAATTGGACCAGTTTAAACCAGACCAGGGTTAAATTGGACCAGTTTAAACCAGACCAGGGTAAAACCGGACCAGTTTAAACCAGACCAGGGTTAAATTGGACCAGTTTAAACCAGACCAGGGTTAAATTGGACCAGTTTAAACCAGACCAGGGTAAAACCGGACCAGTTTAAACCAGACCAGGGTTAAATTGGACCAGTTTAAACCAGACCAGGGTTAAATTGGACGAGTTTAAACCAGACCAGGGTTAAATTGGGGTTAAATTGGACCAGTTTAAACCAGACCAGGGTTAAATTGGACCAGTTTAAACCAGACCAGGGTAAAACCGGACCAGTTTAAACCAGACCAGGGTTAAATTGGACCAGTTTAAACCAGACCAGGGTTAAATTGGACCAGTTTAAACCAGACCAGGGTAAAACCGGACCAGTTTAAACCAGACCAGGGTTAAATTGGACCAGTTTAAACCAGACCAGGGTTAAATTGGACCAGTTTAAACCAGACCAGGGTTAAATTGGGGTTAAATTGGACCAGTTTAAACCAGACCAGGGTTAAATTGGACCAGTTTAAACCAGACCAGGGTAAAACCGGACCAGTTTAAACCAGACCAGGGTAAAACCGGACCAGTTTAAACCAGACCAGGGTTAAATTGGACCAGTTTAAACCAGACCAGGGTTAAATTGGACCAGTTTAAACCAGACCAGGGTTAAATTGGACCAGTTTAAACCAGACCAGGGTAAAACCGGACCAGTTTAAACCAGACCAGGGTTAAATTGGACCAGTTTAAACCAGACCAGGGTTAAATTGGACCAGTTTAAACCAGACCAGGGTTAAATTGGACCAGGTTAAACCAGACCAGGGTAAAACCGGACCAGGTTAAACCAGACCAGGGTTAAATTGGACCAGGTTAAACCAGACCAGGGTAAAACCGGACCAGTTTAAACCAGACCAGGGTTAAATTGGACCAGGTTAAACCAGACCAGGGTAAAACCGGACCAGTTTAAACCAGACCAGGGTTAAATTGGACCAGGTTAAACTAAGACCAGATCATTGCGTTTTAACTACTCAGGTGCTTCAATCACCTTTCAGATCCATTCTGGTTTGGCTCAGTGTTCTGAGCATGTGGTTCTGATCCAGCAGGTGAGGAAAGCTTCAGGTATACTATTTATACCTGAGCAAGCTCACTGAACGACAGCAGCATTGGTCCGGTGTGAGGTCACAGGGCAGATGGGTGGAGCCTCAGCTCAGAACTCCACCTTGCAGGCAGGGAAGGTCTCGTCCTGCATGGCGACGGTGCTATTGCTGCCCAGAACCGTGATCAGCAGCTCCCGCTGACGCTCCAGGGTCTCCTGGTACCACTGATGCATCACTGGCGAATCAAAGGTTGGGATGAGGGTCGTCTGGGGGTGAAAACAATATATAAACCAATCAGAGGAGCGATCAGGAAAAGGTAAAAAAAAGTGAGCCAATCTCCACCCACTGGGACACTGGACCAGCTGCTCTTCCCCTCCAGCAGGGAGTCTAAGATGCTCCTCATCACCTCCTCCTTCACAGGGTCATCTCCACTGACGATGTAGTAGGAGGAACGCAGACACCTGAACAGGTTTTTGTCCACACTAGATGACGCTGACCCAGAGGGCAGGTAGGCCAGGTCCACGTAGACCACAGTACTGTCAGAACTGGTGGGCCTAGAACCTGCAGGAGGAACATATTAAAACCATTTGGTTCAGAGGAATAAGAGGAAGGTGAGTCCTGAAGCTGGACAGGTGTGTTGGTCCAGGTGTGGTACTGAAGCTTTACATGCAGCTCTGTGGTTCAGGTGTCCTGACCCCTAAAGCCTGATTTATACTTCTCCGTCTGCGTCGGGACAAAGACACGCAGCGCCATCATCCGTCCTTCCGAGGGCTGTCCGACAGGCTCGCTAGGACGGACGGAGTCGAGCTCTCTTCTAAACATCGGTCCGATGAGACGGAGAACGCAAGCTTGTGATTGGTCGTCTGCAGCGCCGCCATTGTGCCCTCAACAACATAAAGAGAGCTGAGGATATCTAGCAGCAGACGCGGAGCAGCGAGAAGAATACCTCGCGGAAAAACGTATAAAATAAGAACACTTGATTCCGCCGTGACTGGAGGAATGAAAAGACACGCAGCTAGCGTTTTATTCCTGAACGGAAATGTCGGGAAACGTGGGTTTAGAAGTGGCGAGCGCATGAAGAGGTGGAGGATGATGAGAGACAAATGTGTCCGTGTTAAAAAGTCTCTTAAATACAAAAAACAACATAAACGCACTATCCTGGACCGGGAACCTGACAGGATACCACAGGCTATCTGAGATTCTCTAATTTCCCTCTGGGATTAACACCACAGAGCAGCGCTACGCCCTCTGGTGTCCTGGAGGAGAATTGCTTTGCAACGCTCCCCAGGAGACGAAGAAGTGTGAGGTGTGTCTCTCCCTCATGGAGCTGACGGAGGCTTTTAAATTAGGCTTAACTCTGGCTTCTGAGGGTCTAGACTGGACCGCTTCCAGCACTCGGCCTACCTGAAGACTGTAGTTTTGCAGATCCAACTTTGGCTCCACCAAGAGAGCCTCGAGAGGACGGTTTAGTATCCAGGCTCGTCTTCAGCATTCCGGAGGACCCGGCTTTGGACTTTGACATCCCGCTCTGAGCGGAGACGGTTCTCTGCAGCGGTTTCTTCTTGGTACCGGAGGTCCTGAGGCTCTTGTCTGCCTCCGGGTCAGTCATACAGGCTCCAGGTTGGGGTGGCAGGGGAGGTAGGTCTTTACCTGGAGCCGATGACGGGTCATGGATAAAGACTGGACTGGAATGATGGTGGTTCTGACCAGGGAGGACGAGGCTGTTGGTGTCACCTTCATCATTGACATCTGCACTGATGGAAGAAGAGTCCTCGGTCTCCAAGGGAACATCAGAGTCTGTGGCTGTAGGCAGGTAATCACTGAGTGATGTGGGCGGGGTCTGCTGACTACAGGCCGAGGGACAGTCGCTGCTATGGTCCTGGGACAGGCTGTTGTTCTCCAAGGGGTGTCCAGGGCTTGTGGGCTGCTGGGGGGTCTCCAGAACTCTTGGATGTTGAAACTCACAGGGGGACACCAGGCACAGGTCAACATCGTGTGGCACATCCGAACTGAATTCTGCTAGCCCGCGGACGTGGTCCTGGGCTCCGCAGCATCCGTTCTGGGTGGGTCTGACTGGTAAAGTCACATCAGCGGCACCAATGTGTCCACTGGAGCAGGACTTGGCTGCAGGTGGAAGAACTTGTTCAGAGAAGGAATTCTCGACCTCCGAGGAGCGAGGCGAGCCGACCCCAGCTGGCATGGACGCCATGGTGGGGGAGGAGTCAGGCATCGCCTCTCTCAGGAGGCTGGATGGTTTATCCTGAGAGGACAGGGAGTTCTCCAGACCTTCCCTAAGGGAACTCAAGTCTGACGTTTTACAAGAACCTCCCTGATCGTAGTCCTCAAAGCCCAGACTGGAGCCTCTAGCCCCAAAGCCCAGAGTGTCGTCCACAGGGGACTGATGGAATGGGGTGTGTCCAGCGCTGTTTGGAGCAGAATCTGCAGAGGAGACCAGGTCCAAAGTCTTCTCCTCTGAGCTGGCACATGCATCCGTTTGGACGAATGGAGATCCCTGTATCTGCAGGTATGAAGTCAGAGTGAGGTCAAAGTTCACACTGAGATCACCTTTTGGGATTTTGGCGAAAGGCGAGGAGGTACCCAAAGCGCCCAGGTCTGTCCCTGCAGGGCGGAGGTTTTCCGGGCTCTGTGAGGCGGAGAGCGGCGTTTTAGAACCGGTGTTCTGGTTGTTGTTGTCATCTTCAGGCGCCAGTGCCTTTGAGCCCGTCTTTAAAGTTCTGCTCTTTGGGAAGGCCCCATCCTTCTTTACCGTCTCACCTCTCCCCGAGGCCTTCCTGAGATCTGCAGCTGCTGTGGTTCCACTCGTTCTCACCGCAGGTTTCTTCTCCAGCTTCAGGTCTTTTGTTGGTTCAGGTTTAAAATCTTTCATCTTTCTTACGATTTCCTTCTTTGTAGCTTCTTTCGTTTTATCCACGACCTCCTTGGAGACCATCACATCCTTGTTCTTCAAGTGTTTCTTGTCTTCTTTGGACACATCTTTCTTTGGACTTGGTTTTGTGGTCTTGGCTTTGGCATCTGGATCTTTTCTTTCTTTGGACACATTGTGAGCAACTGCTCTGGGCTTCGTCTTCACCTCCACCCGTCCAGGCTTGTCCTTCTGCAGGACACCACTTGGTCTGTGATCCTTGGACTGAGACTTAAGGCTTTCTCCACTCTCCACACGCTTTGGCTGCTTCTCGGTTTTTGATGCGTCCAGGTCCTTCACACACACAGACGCACATTTAAGGAAGTCCAGATGTTTGACTTTTTCAAGTGCTTCTAGGATTTTGGGTTGCGGTGTGCACCCGGGGAACAGAACTCGAATGATCTGGTCCTGAGAGTTGGATGGATGCCAGACCAATAAGGCACAAATGGAGACAAGGCGCCCTGGGGGGTCAGAGCCCTTTAGGTCCGGTCCGCCGGCTGCAGAAAGCTGCTTCAGATCATCGAGAACTGGATTTAGGGTGTACAGCTCCAGACGCCCCACCCCCATCTTTTGAAACAAGATCACTGGTTCTATGGTGGGTCCATCAGGCCTGCTCAGAGGTTCGGGTTTGATGGTCAGCCTCTGTAGGAGCTTCATGGTGGAAGCGGCCTCATCTTGACTCCGCAGCTCCCCCGGATCAGTCTGGATGGGCTCCAGGAGGTCTGGAGGATTAAAGAAAACCACCCCAATCTCCGGGGAGATCAGGTTCTTCATCCAATCATCCGCAGAGAAGCCTCCAGCAGCCTCTTGGTCCTGCTCGGCCACTTTCCTTAGCAGCAAGCTGTTCAGGCCGGGCAGGTTGTCCACGCCCATGTGGGTCAGCAGCACCGCATCCACCCTGTCCAGGTGTCGGACCAGCTTCCAGAAACAAGAGCGGGGGTCTGAGCCTCCGTTCACCAGGATGTTAAACCCGTTGACAGCAAAGAAGGCGGAGTCGCCCCGCCCACCAGGGAAGACATAGCAGCAGGGTCGGGACAGTTTCAGGAAGCCCACTGTGCAAGGGGGCTCCAGAAGTTCAAAGGGCAACCCTGGACCCAGGGACTCGGACAGGTACTCGGTGAACTCCTGCAGACCTTCCATTTCAGGAAGGATGGGTTTAGGGTTGATCCGAATGCTGATGAAGTTCTGAAGGTTGTGTTTCTGCCACTCAGAGTCTCTCCAAAGACCATAGTTGGGACAGCTGAGGGTGAGGCGGGCCTCCAACGTCGGACCAGCAGAGCCCCAAAGTTCTCTGACCTGCAGAAACAGTGAGAGGTTACTGAAGCCCACCTGGAACACAGATCCACAGAACCCCAATGAGGGTGTCAGCGTGGTCTTACCTCCTCGTCAGCAAAGACCTGGATGAAGTCAGCAAAAGAGAAGCAGCCCTGCTGCAGAACCAGGTCCCCGCTGCCCTCCACACACTGACCAGCCAGGATCAGCAGTTTGTCTGGAGAAGGGTCACAGACCAGCCGCCGCACCTGCACACAAACAGGAAGTAGGTGCTGAATGGAAAGGAGGAGGAAAACCCCACAAGTGGGAGTAGTTCTGCTCCTACCTCTGAGCAAACCCTCTCTTTGACTGGATTCACCAAAACCTGCGTGTGAAGGACCTCTCCGTGGTGCTGAAGCGTCCGCTGACCTGCAGAACCAGCACAGGACTCAGACTACAGATGGACCCAGAACCACTTCCTCAAAGGAGACGTGTTCCTGTTTCTGATGATTGTATAACACACACACACACACACACACACACGTACAAACACACACACACACACACACACACACGCACACACACACACACACACACACACACAGAAACACACACACACACACGCACACACGCACACACACACACACACACACACACACACACACACACACACACACACAGAAACACACACACACACACGCACACACACAGTGGGGCTAAGTAGAAAAAATCTGGGACAGCTGTGTGTGTGTGTGTGTGTGTGTGTGTGTGTGTGTGCGTGTGTGCGTGTGTGTTTCTGTGTGTGTGTGTGTGTGTGTGTGTGTGTTTTCCAGATGTTCCCTCAGTCTCAGAACAGCTCCACAGTCTTCAGGTGTGATCTGACCTCTGACCTCCAGACATTACTTACTAGGCTTACCTGTCACTCATCTGTGTTTAGCCACACCCACTCTACAGACAGGAGGTGTGATTCTCACCTGGGATGTCCTGGGACAGGAAGGATGAGTGTCTGGATACGAAGAGCTTCAGCTGCTGGTCCAGAACAGAGACCTTCAGGTCCACGTGCCAGCAGCGCACACCTGGAACACACACACACACACCTACTCAGTCCCAGGAAACAGTAGAACCTCCTCAGAGAATTCCAAGGATTAAAGGGGAAAAAGTCAAGCAAGCAACATTTTTAAAAATAAGAATTCCCTTTTGTCAGACTCCTCCCCCGAGCCACAGAGGGTGCCATCAGCCCTGAAAGCATAGGGGTAGGCAACAGCCCGCAGGGTCCAGACCGTAACCCCACCGGGAACCTTTGGGATGAGCTGGAGAATGTTTTTTTATCTTACCTGCTTCCATACGTCATTTCCTCCGTGGCGAGTGTGTCTTTAAAAAAGGGGGCGTGGCCCGATCAGGTGTGTCTGATTGCCCCGCTGATGGGGAGAGGGAGACACAGACAAGCGGAAAAGGGAGGATTGATAGAGAGATCAAGTCTTTTGAAAAACGGGGAATATTGGTGAAAACGACCAAACGGAGGAGAGACGAGAATGCCGGTCCGCAGCAGAGATTAGGAGGGAGATGGGATCGCTGTTTCGGTTGGACGCACAGCTGTTTCACCCGGGTTCCACTTCTGAGTCGGACCTCGGTGCTGATGCTCTTCTGAGAGAACCACGAGACCCGCTGGGAGAATGTCGGGCTCCATGAGTAGAACCTCGAGTGTGACAGTGAGAGTGCTGCCGAGCAGAGCGGTTACGTTGGTGGCTTCCCCGTCGCCGATGTGAATCAGTAATTAATGAGGAGGGCCAATAAGCTGCTGAGCTGTAAGCTGTTGGCTGTGATGTCCCAGTCCGAGTTGATGGTGTGGTTTTAGTGGTTTCTCCTTTGAAGGAGACGGGTGTAGACCGTTTCTCTGTTGCAGCCTTTGTAGGGGTTCTGCGTGCATCAAGGCTAACTAATCGATGCTATTGATCTCACACGTCAGGAGAGAGCACCCCCGCTACAACAGCAGTCAGACGACCGTCAGCAGTCCTGGGACACCTACTAGGTTACTGTGGCGGACCTGTAAGCATTAGTGGAGTCAGATCTGTAAAAGAGGAGGAAAGAAACATAAACAGCACATCGCTGTTGCCACGGTGACACAGACCCGGGTCTCTTACCAGTAAAGAAAAGAAAGAAAATGATCTTTTATGTAGCGCCTCTTAAGATAAAACCACGAGGTACTTCACAAAAGCAAAATCTAAAAATATAAAAATTAAAGTTGTGTTTAAAAATGTCAGGAAAGGGAAAACGAACAGGAAACAGGGAAATCAGCGGATCCCGGGAAAGGTAAAACAGCAGCAAAGGAGAGGGTGGTGACGAAGGTCACACCAAAGCCAGCTTGAACAGGTGAGTTTTCAGCTGCTTTTAAAGGTAACCACTGAGTCCACTGATCTCACCCCCATCCACTGCACGTGGAAGCGTCACGGCCTTGGAACGACCTCAAAACGTACTTGGCTCGGTTAGCTGCCGTTATCGTGGATGAGTTCCTGCACACCGGCAGCAGAGTGTAAGGTTTGGGACGCGCCCCAGAAGCGAGGGCACACTGTCATGACGTTTCAAGTCCTGCACTTCCAAAACACGCCAAACTCCACAGTTCAGATGGAGCCAGACAGGAAGTCAAACACAAAAGCAGTGTAGGACATGCAGTGCGTCATTTCCTGTGAACTTCTGTAACCGACGTAAACAGAACATAGAGTAACCTACTGCGGCTCAAGGCCTGTAGTTCGTCACATGGCCAACAGCTAGCTTCTCCGCGCAGGTCAAGCCGACACCGGAGGGGTCCGTATGAGTATTTACGAACTTGAGCAGCGACCTCGACTTGTCCTTAAATGCTCCTGTTGCCTCTATCAGAGCCTGGTTATAGTCATCTTTTCTGGCTCCTAAAGGACTTAACCTTACAAGCGGTTACCATCTTACTCTGTGGTACGTACAACATGTTTTAAATGCTCTACAGCAGGGCTACTCAAGCGAGGCCTCGAGGGCCGTAGCCAGCACGTTTTAGTGGTTTCTCTGGTCCACACACTAGATCCAGTGGTTGAGTCACATGTGCAGCAGCTCATCAGGCTCTGCAGAAGCCTGTTAATCACCTGCTGATGGAAGTCAAATGAGTTGAAGCAGGTTAAAACCAAAACCTGCTCGACATCGGCCCAGAGGCCTGGAACTGAATAACCTACAGCGCATGTTGTGATCTGTGGGGAAACCGGAGTACCCACGCATGCATGGAGAGAACACGCAACGCCATGCTGCAAGGTCGCAGCCAAGTTTCAAACCTGCAACCTTCTTGCTGCGAGGCAACAACTGGGCCACCATGCAGTCCAGAAGTTCTGGTGATGAATTAATTTAAAAAACAATAAAAAGGGAGGAGCTGTTTGAAAGCCAGAAGAGCCAGTTCTTCTTGTTTATTGTTGTGTGTGGACTTGTGAAATCACGCATGTGGTTGCAATTCTCCGATGACTGCGCGAGTCACCTGTGTGGAACGCTTTACCTGCTGACGTACATCAGAACTGCTCCCCGTTCTCTGGGTCTGGTGCTGCACAACCAGTAGGAAGAAGAAGAAGAAGATATCATGTCTATAGCGCCTCTCAGGATAAAAATCATGAGGCGCTTCACAAAAACAAAAAATGTAAAATTATAAAAACGAATTTAGAAAATGATTAAAAATATATTTAAAATGAGCAAAAATAGACAATTGTGATTAAACATGTAAAGAAAGAGAGAGAGGGAACAGGACAGAGGGAAATCAGTGGATCCTGAGGAAGGTGGAATAGGTGGGAGAGCAGAATAAAGAGAGAGAGGTGAAGAAGGTCATACAAAAGCCAGCTTGAACAAGTGAGTCTTCAGCTGATTTTTAAAGGAGACCACTGAGTCCACTGATCTCAGGCTCAGGGGGAGAGAGGTCCAGAGTCTGGGGGCCACAGCAGCAGATGATCTGTCACCTTTGACCTTTAGCCTGGTGCTGCACAACCAGTAGGCTTTGATCACTGGACCTCAGGGACCTGCTGGGGGTGTAGGGACTAAGAAGATCACCAATGTAAGATGGTGCTTGTCCATGTAAGGCCCTATAGACCAGAACCAGGATCTTGAAATGAACCCTGAAGTTGACTGGCAGCCAGTGAAGCTGGAGGAGAAGCGGGGTGATGTGGGTGTGTTTGGAGGACTTGGTCAGAAGCCGAGCACAGGCGTTCTGAACCACCTGTAGACGGTTCAGGGAGGTTCTGCTCAGACACGTGAAAAGAGAGTTACAGTAGTCTAAGCGTGAGGAGATGAAGGTGTGGAGAACTGTCTCAAGTTCAGAGCGGGACATAACGGGACTCAGCTTAGCAACGTTCCTGAGATGGAAGAAGGAAGAGCCAACAAGAGAACTGACATGAGAATCCAGGGTGAGAGCTGGGTCAAAGGTCACGCCAAGATTCCTGACAGAAGGTTTGGTGTGAGAAGCAAGCTGACCAAAAGAGTCTCTGACTTTGGGAACCAGCTTGTCTGGGGCACAGATGAGGATCTCAGTCTTATCTTCATTCAGCTGAAGAAAGCTCCCACCATCCAGGTTCTGATAGAGTCTAAGCAGGTGTGTAACAGCTGCAGCTTAGACATCTCATGGGGCTTAAAGGAGATGTACAGTTGGATGTCATCTGCATAAAGATGGTAGGAGATTCCTTTGAAGGAGCTCAGGATGTGCTGAAGAGGAAGCAGATAGAGGAGGAAGAGCAGAGGCCCCAGCACAGAACCTTGTGGGACACCATGGGTAAGAGAGGTGGTGGAGGACCTAAACTTGGAGACTGCCACAGAGAAGGAGCGCTCAGAGAGATAAGAGGAGAACCACTCCAGAGCAGATCCTGATAGGCCTACCCAGTCTCTCAGCCTCTCCAGTAGCAGGTGATGGTCAACAGTGTCAAAGGCTGCAGTCAGGTCCAGCAGGACCAGAACCAGAACCCTGCATCACTGTGAGTCAGAAGGTCATTAGAGACCCTAAGAAGAGCTGTTTCAGTAGAATGAGCTCTACGAAAACCTGACTGGAAGCTATCATAGATGTTATGTTCATCAAGAGCAGCTGTGAGTTGTTTAGCCACAACCTTTTCCAAGATCTTGGAGATGAACAGAAGTTTAGAGATGGGTCTGAAGCTGCTATGGAGAGAGGGGTCGAGACTCGGTTTTTTAAGAAGCGGGTGGATTACAGCGTTCTTAAAGTAAGCAGGGACCTGACCAGAGACCAGAGAAGCATTAATTATAGAGAGCACGCTGGGACCGATGGACTGAAAAGCACTTTTAAACAAAGATGAGGGTAAGATGTGGAGGGGGCATGCAGAGGTCTTCATAGAGTTAACTAGTTTGGTTAACTCAGGCAAAGAAACAGGAGCAAAGCTATCTAGGATGATGGGCCTGGTTGGAGTCGGGAGAGGCGGCGATAAGGCTGAAGGAGAGATGCTAGATCTATCCTTACTGACTTTGTCCACAAAGAAAGACAGAAAGTTCTCACAGTCTGCAACAGAGTGGATGGAGGCTGTAGGAGAGGCAGGAGAGTCGATGCTGCTGATGGTGTTAAAGGATGTTATATCATGGGTGGCGACGTATTCCAACCAGATTTCCTGTTAGAAAAACACCTGGAAAACAGGTGTTACCTGCAGGACTGAGAGAGCGGAACTGAGGCAGTGATTGGTAGCTCCCCCCTTAACCCTCTGCAGGCGCTCTCAGAGTTTCTCGGTGGGAAAAAGAGTTGTTAACACACGAGCTCACACAGAGCACACTCACTGCTCAGGAGAACACAGAAACTGGCTGTTCACCTCCATCATTAAACAAAGGGGAGGAGGATGTTTGTCTTAAGGAGGCGAGCGGCAACTGACAAGTTAAAGAAAATGCTAAGGTGATCTGAAATATAAACGTCCTCAGGACTGTCAGCAACCCAGACTCGGGTCTCTGTTACCATGGTGACCCAGAGCCCAGGTCTCCACCATCCAGCAGGACTAAAGTCACGATGTCACAGAGGGTCCAACACAAACCAAACCACCCGACCTGGGACACGTCCGAACCTTCAGGCCAGTCACTCCAAAAGTTCTGCTTCCGGTGAGCAGCTGTTCTGAGGGAGAGCATGAAGCTAACGGACAAAAGCGGTTCTGCTTCAGGACCGGAAACGCTTTCTGACAGTTTCAAAGTGCTTCAGAAGTTAAACACAACGACTGAAGGCCGAACTCAGACGGGGCACCACGCCTGGGTTCGCCTGTGCTCCAGGACCAGCTCACCCGTTTCTATCTGCTGCAGGATCCGCTCCAGAAGGCCGGCGGCTCGCAGCGAGCCCACCACAACCAGTACGGAGTAATCCGCTGCCGCCATGGTCCGGTACGAACCGGGCCCGCCACCCCGCTCCGACGCCATCATCCTCTACACAGCCGGAGGTGAAAGGTCATCGTTAGAGGAAGGTCTCTCCTTTCTCGCCTCTGATTGGGAGCGGGCAAGAAGGACTCTCCTGCGATTGGCTAGAAGTACGCTGCTTTCCCCGCGTGACCGCTACTGCGCTGATGAGCGGTAGCGCCGCCATCTTGGATCGGTCGGCCACTCTCACAGAGGCCTTCAATTGTCAGCATAGTATATCAACCATACGTCATTGAATTCCGAAACGATTTCAATACGTTTTTTTTTCTCAGCAAACTTCACACACGTACACATGAGTGACTCTTGTCCAGAGCGTACGTCAAAACTTACAGAAAAACAGATCGATTCAGAGCCGAGTCCAGGACTTTTAAATGGGGTGGCCCATGTGGGGCACTTGTTTATGCATGGGTGGCACCAATGGTTATGCTTATTTATGTATTTACAGAAATCGTTTATTTGTTTATTTTTTTACTTTCTTTTAAATTTTTGAGTTTCACATTGCACAATCACCATTTTTTCTCTTCATCTTCTAGTTTTGTGGTGGTTAGCAAGTCACTTCTTGTTGCATTACTGCCACCAACTGGAGTTGAGTGTGACTCTAAATACTATTTATGTGAATATGAAAATAATAATAATAATAATAATAATAATAATAATAATACTACAGAAATGTTCTGTAGGCCTGGGCTAGAAAACAATGTGAAAGGTGCATGCAACCACACACTATTTTGGAGTTTACAACCCAAGCCTTTTGTCGACAATGTAAAGTCAATTTGAACTGGAACTTAGTAGGGTGGCACCATTCTAAGGGTGGCATGTGCCACGCCAGGCCACCCCCTGGACACGCCCCTGGATCAATCACTAGAAATCAGTCAATGAGAATCAAAATAATTCAAAAAGCACCATATGTAACTCCTCTAGGTCACACATACACCAGGTGTGTGAGATCTATGCTAGTTAAAACACACAACATATTTCCAAGAAGCAGAAAATTAAATTCCCATTAGTCATCATCGCACAGCTGCGAAATTACATTTGTGCATTTGACCCATCCTCATTGGGAATGGTGAGCTGCAGCGGTGACTGCTCTCGAGAACTATTTGGTACTTTTACCCCTCAATCCAACCCTTTAAAGCAGAGTGTCAAGAGGGGAGGGATTGTTGATTAATATATAAAATATAATTCTTATGGATAACATGTGTGTGTGTGTGTGTGTGTGTGTGTGTGTGTGTCTTTGTCTGTGTGTGTGTGTGTGTGTGTGTGTGTGTGTGTGTGTGTGTGTGTGTGTGTGTGTGTGTGTGTGTGTGTGTGTGTGTGTGTGTGTGTGTGTGTGTGTGTGTGTGTGTGTGTGTGCCTGCTCTGTCTTCTCCATCCCCAGTGAGTCGTGGAGGATGGCTGCTTATACTGAGCCAGGATTCTCTGGAGGTTTCTTCCTGTTAAAAGGGAGTTTTCCTCTCCACTGTCGCTGCATGCTTGCTTAGTATGAGGATTGCTGTAAAGACTCTGACACTAGTCAGTGACTTGATGCGACCTGCTGGGTTCCTTATATAGGAAACATTATTTCTGATTGGCTTGATGAACTGACCTGAATTGGAATGTTTATTATGTGGAGTGCCTTGAGGCGACTCTTGTCGTGATTTGGCGCTTTATAAATAAACTTGAATTGAGTTGAATCAATAGAAATAAATAAGTATTTGTGTAATTCATATACATATAGTATCTTTATAATTCAAAGAAAGGATGAGAGAGGGAACAACTAGAAAAAAGTCTTGATGACAATAAGACGACAAACCATCTCTCAGAACTGACTGCTTAAAAGAGTTAGTTTAATTAGTTTTATGTTAATTTATCTGTTACTTGTGTTGAGAATGTTTAAAAATATCTATTGAAAGCGTTACATGGGCTAAAACCCCTGAAAGAGGATTACTTTTTAGAACTTTTAGAGCTTCCCTTCTGCGGTTAGAGACGTGGGTTTAGCCATGTGGTGCTGCCTTCTCGTCAGAAGCACAGCCTTTAACCAATACCATCCAGTCTGGCAGCCGTGGCATCCACCATGAGAGGTACACATCCGTTTAGCCTGGTCTTTCGGGCATCATCGTGTTCAGACCAGGCTCGTCATCCACCAATCACAGTCTCCTCACAGCAGTAGCTCAGGAGGCAGAGCAGGTTGTCCAGTGATCAGAAGGTTTCAGGTTCGATGGCTCTGACAGAGATTGCCACCGTCGCCTCACCAAATGAACCACAGTGATCCAAACTTGTGCTGGAACTTCCAGAGATGAACTATTTTGGCTAAACCATTTTCACAAAGAAGAAACTTACAAAATGTGCAGTCTAAATTCACACAAAATGAAATTCCAGTGTAAATACCTCCGCTTCCTCTTTTTACTTCCTTGTAACTGCAAGAGGTCTTCCTCTCTCACAGCCAAGACTTTCCTTGTATTTTGCTTCCAAAATGCTGATCCTGTAAGTAAAATGGTTGATTCAGTTCACAACACATTTCATTTTTTTTCACAGAAATTAGTATTTTTTTTTTACCAGTAGGTTTAAAATGTTCACTTCTGGTTCCTTCCGTTTCCAAGATTTTGTTTCCCTGCGGTCAGTAAGGATGTTTAACTCCTCTTGTTCAAGGGCCTCGTTGACTTTTCTGGTGATGCCCACTGCAGAAGCTTCAAACGCAGCGTCAGGGTCTCGCTTGTTTCCAATCTGCCATCAACAAGTTCAGCAATGAAGATAGTCCTGATAATGACAATAATTGTATTACTCATATAATCTTGAAATACAGACGGAATAATAATAATAATAATAATAATAATTTTCATTAATAATGCACTATACCTTGGGCATCAGATCTCATGGTGCTACAAAGATCAAACAAGTAACAGATAAAAACTAATTAAAACAACAACAAAAAAAAAAAAACAAGTTCACAGACACATAAAAATATGCTTTTCTAAAAAGGAAGGTTTGCAGTTCCCTTTTAAAAACATCGACGGTCTGGGGGGCTCTGAAGTGTTCAGGAAGACTGTTCCACAGACACGGAGCGGATGCTGTAAAAGTTCTGTCGCTCATGGTCTTAAGCCGTGTTCTGGGCGCAACCGAGAGGTGCCGTTGGCCTGCTATGGTCCGGGTAGAGGTGTGTGGGGAAAGAAGATGAGTGAGGTATGTGGGGGCCGCACTGTGCAGACAGTGATGTGTGTGCAGGAGGATCTTATATTCTATACGGAGGTGTACAGGGGCCAGTGAAGGGATTGGAGGATGGGGGTAATGTGCTCATGTTTCTGCACCCCCATTAGGACCCTGGCAGCACTAATCTGGACAAACTGGAGCTTTTGGAGGCTCCTGCCAGGTATTCCAAACAGAAGTGCATTACAATAGTTCACCCTGGAGGAGACAAAGGCGTGGACAATCATCTCTGCGGCTGAAAGGGAAAGAGAGCGATGCAGTTTGGAAATGTTACAGTGATGGAAACATGAGGTTTTGCAAATTGAGGTGGCATGTTTGTCAAAAGAGAGTTCTGGGTCAAACTTGACCCCAAGGTTAGTAACAGAGGGAGAGAGGGGAACAGTATTGCCAATGAACCAAACAGATGTAACGGGAGAAGAGCGGAGTTGGTGGGGTGTTCAGATTTGAATGTCTTCTGTTTTAGAGCCATTCAGCTGCAGAAAAATTTGATTCATCCACACCCCGATCTCCTCAGGGCAGGAGGTGGTGGCAGAGGGGGGCGCAGAGGGAGTGATGTGGAGAACGTGTGTGTGTGTGTGTGTGTGTGTGTGTGTGTGTGTGTGTGTGTGTGTGTGTGAGACTTAAGTAGTAGTAGTCAAAAGTAGTCTGGAAACGAGCCGGTAGGAGAAGCCGCGGTTCCGATCAAACCGGTCTTGAGTTACTTTCGGCACACAACTTTTATTGGCGTCTGGTCAGACCCAAGCCTGGGTCGGTGGATGGAGCTTTTATTCTGAAAGGAGCTGTTGTTGCCGCTGGTTGTTATAGCGACTGGACTTTTCAGCTTGTCGTTGGTTCTTTCGGTTAAAGAGTTAAAAGATCAGGATTGGCCACTCCGATGCTTGCTCTGGAACGCTTTGAGCTCACGTTAGAGCTGACGTGGCATAGTTTTATACCTCGGATGTTATGGTTTATTGTCAAATGAAAATGACCAAACACCATCAGAACCATGCCTCCGTCAGTTCTGTAAGATTCTGACTGGATCAGTGAAAGGAATGTGTTGTGTCCTTTTAACACCACGTGAAATGAGTCCTGTTGGAACACTTAAAGTCACAGTACTTATTATTTCTATAGGATCATAATAAAGGAATTAATATTTTGATTTCACAGGTCGGTCACATCTTATGTATTGACTAACACTTTGATGGATTAGCTTTATTAAAATAGAGTTATTTGATTAGTGAAAAGAAAAGAGTTCATTCTTCATTTTTCTGTTGAGCTGAAAATAAGCAGGTTAGAAGGAATGCATGAGACCTTGAGATCATATCTCATGCAGACTCGTTCTGAGCAAAGAAGGGAAAAATAAGAGTCATTCTGTTCGTTACATATCCCCCCTTTTCAATGGTACGGTGGTCCGTGCAGAGACCACCTGGCGTTGAACAAACCAGAGTCCTAAAGGGACTCCGATGACAAGGGAAGGTGTAGTTCCCCCGAAGAGGCCAACAGTGGTGAGGTACGAACCCCACTCCGAAGAACAGTCTATGGTTTCAACAGTCTCGCATAATCCCTTTGGAAGCACACAAGTCAGCAAATTTGTAAGGTATCCCCGTGGGGTAATAAGTTGAAGCAGGAGCAAAGGTTTACGTATCCACGGGTAGGGAATAATTCCAACAGTATATTGATCTTTGTAATTGCACTTATCGTGATTCAGTGCGGGAAAGAGCAGCAGGCAGGTCAGGTCCTAGTGAGCGAAGTATCCCAGCAGCCATGCCGGAACAAACGGTCGTCCAGGTCCTTCGAGCCGGAAAACCCATCAGGAGGAGCGGAATCCGACGACGAGTCACGGGTCCACCCCCAGGGAAGCGAGGATCATCAGTGAACCTCAGGAGA